TTTGAGTTGTCCAGAACCGGTACAATAGCAGATTAGAGTGTGATTGACAGTATCGTGAGATTAAAAGTCAGTGAATCAAATCTATCGAACTTGACAGAAGTTTTATGTGAAATGTTAAATTCTGCTAAAGTTAATGGACGGTATCTTGCACATCCAGTACCGTCCATGAACAAGCTTAATGATCACCAAATAAAGTTTTTATGAATATGTGCGCACTAAATGAGAAAACAATAGAAGTGGAAGAAAATATAGAAAATGTTGTTTTTTTTTAAATTTTGCGGCTTGCATATCACAGAAAAAAATGTCAAAAGGCAAATAAAAAAATATACAAGCAACATATTCTAGGGGTAATTATACCGTATTCACGTAAGAAATACATATATTTTATACATAACACACAATTCGTGCAATGAAATTGATCTCCGTTGTTGCGTAGTCGGCCGATCCCTGATAGGTGATATACTTCAACACCAGTTACGGAATAAGTGCCTTTCTATAAACCATGTTTTTCTGTCATTGAAAATATCATTCCTGTGTTAAATAAATACAGTATTAAATGCGGATTGTTTATCAACAGCAAAAAACTTCAACCCTTCAAACTTTAGATTTTAAATCAGATTTCGCTGTTTAAGTGTTGTTTATCTTTTCACTTATCAGCGCATGTCATTGAAAGAAGATATTAATATCAAGGCAACATCAAGAAAAACTATTGACATCCCATATACAATTTTTAAACATTGAAGATAATGAAGGCATAAGTATATATATGAAGATTTTACTCATAAAAACAGATTTGTTTACTGTAAACAGTTGTTAATACATTTATTGATATTTTGAAACGTTAATTGTAGTTACGTAAATTTCTTTTAATGATAACTGCGAGCAACACACCGAATTCCATATGATGATACGAAATAGAGACATACATTGTATTTGCTTCTTTAGAACACATACATGTGCATGTATTCTTGTCAGAAAATATCAAGTTTCTTTCAAAGTCTGTTGATGTCTGCTAAAATACTGAAATTTATTGAACTCGAATTACTTTTTATCTTCCATTTATGTAAATATGGCAAAGATTTTCATTAAGTAATTGAAGCAATAAATTCATATGATATTTCATTGAACATGCTCTTTTAAGAAAACACTGAGTAAACCTACTGTTATAGTGCTTTGTTTTGGGTGAGTTTTGTCTTCGAATGCATGCGACGTTAATTAAAAATGCCAGCCAAATGCGTTATTTACACTTCATTTGTATAACGCGAAATCCCTTTGTTGAGATATTTTATTAAACGGATTTTTCCGAAGCTGTCACTTAACCCATTTAACAGTGTAGAAACGAGATAGAATTTGAAAGACACTGCTGTAGTCAATGGGCAGTAAGTTCATAGCTTATTTGAGTTATATAAGTATATATATGCCAATCAGGTTAATCATATACCTACCTGTAATAATCAGTAAATTAAGTTTTCTGTCATCGACATCACTGGCGCCGGTAATACGGTGTGAGCACGGTAAATTTTGTTTGAATTCTGCATACAGGTGTCCTTTAACGCAAATAACCGACCCATTTGGCCAATTTTACAGTTCCTTATAGTGCACGTGAAAAGGTGGGTGGGTGGGTCATACATTGAGATTGTTAAAATTAACGAACTACCGCGTTAACCACTAAATGATCAGGTAGAATTAAGTGATTAAATGATGGCAAATTATGCCCCTATAATGTTCAAAAGAGAAATCATGTGAGAATATGCTATTTCAAATAATAGCCTTCGATCTGAAGGTAACACTGTTCTAAAAATAGATTTTACCTTATCACCACTACATCACCTGTACTGACTTTCGGACAAGGGATTAGGGAGTTCACACTACACATAATGTTAATCAGCGTATATTTACTTTGTTTACATGCAATATTTTAAGAAATTGTAGAATGCAAACAAGTTGGAAATGGAATTTAGTGTGAAAAGAAAAGGGACAACTACACACTGTACTTTTGAAAAGTTAAATTTAAACATATGTCACAATCTGCTCTGGCCTCTATATTTGTCAATAAAACGGTTTTTGTCATTCAGGCAGAAAAAAAGTTTGACTCTTTTGATTGATGAGGCGAAGTTTACAAAATGCACCAGTAATTCTAAATTGGCGATGATTTAAAAAAAAAACAAATATTTTGTGTGAGACATAAAATAAAAAAATAAATGTATCTTATTGTCTATACGTTAACAGTGTATGTTAAATCACGGACCTCAATTGTCAATTCAGTTTAAATATACATGCAAGCATGCATGTACGTATACATTATTTCTGATACAGTAACTCCTGGAATCGGCATTTTTTATTAGGAAAAATAGGAAAAACGCATAGTTTTGCGTATTCTAAAATTATTAAAGAATTAATTTAAGATATTATAGTAATTAATATAATACTCGTAGCACTTTGGTGGATAGATTCATGACTTCTCAAATCTGCGTATTTTACATATAAACAAAATTTTGTACGGTATATCTGGGACAGAAAGATACTTTTTCATTTTTAGTCCCAATTTCTTAAAATCATACCATATCATATCACCATTTCTAATTTTGATAAACAGTGAAACAAAAACAAATTGCCAAGCGCCGGCATTTTTCTCAAATTGACATGCAGGGAAAGTATTGCCCCGAAAGTTATTTCTTTTTCACCATATCATCTTTTTTTCCCTGATGGTTTTAAACCATCTCAATCATGCTTTACGCAAGTTTAACCCCAGGAACATCATTTTGATTGAGAGAAATGTGAATAAAAGTATTCGTAACCATTACATGTTGTATAATCTACATGTAGATTAACCAGTTTCCTTGTCCGAAAGTTATCGATATGTTGCTATTTTTAGAACAGGTATCTACGGAAGCATGGAGAGGACATAGTCGATTTATTTTAATAATCTGTGGGAACAACTTATTTGTCGAAATATTTTTTATTAATCTGTGGGAACAACATGTTTTGTGAGAAAAATCTTTTTTTATTCTGTGGGAACAACATATTTTGTGAGAAAAATCTTTTTTTATTCTGTGGGAACAACATATTTTGTGAGAAAAATCTTTTTTTATTCTGTGGGAACAACATATTTTGTGAGAAAAATCTTTTTTTATTCTGTGGGAACAACTTAATTTGAGTAAAAAAAAATTTTTATTCTGTGGGAACAACATATTTTGTGAGAAAAATCTTTTTTTATTCTGTGGGAACAACATATTTTGTGAGAAAAATCTTTTTTTATTCTGTGGGAACAACTTAATTTGAGTAAAAAAAAATTTTTATTCTGTGGGAACAACATATTTTGTGAGAAAAATCTTTTTTTATTCTGTGGGAACAACATATTTTGTGAGAAAAATCTTTTTTTATTCTGTGGGAACAACATATTTTGTGAGAAAAATCTTTTTTTATTCTGTGGGAACAACTTAATTTGAGTAAAAAAAAAAATTTATTCTGTGGGAACAACATATTTTGTGAGAAAAATCTTTTTTTATTCTGTGGGAACAACATATTTTGTGAGAAAAATCTTTTTTTATTCTGTGGGAACAACTTAATTTGAGTAAAAAAAAAATTTTATTCTGTGGGAACAACATATTTTGTGAGAAAAATCTTTTTTTATTCTGTGGGAACAACTTAATTTGAGTAAAAAAAAAATTTTATTCTGTGGGAACAACATATTTTGTGAGAAAAATCTTTTTTTATTCTGTGGGAACAACATATTTTGTGAGAAAAATCTTTTTTTATTCTGTGGGAACAACATATTTTGTGAGAAAAATCTTTTTTTATTCTGTGGGAACAAACTATTTTCTGCTATATTTTTTTCAATATCTTGTTCCCTCAAGATAATAAGTTGTGCGAACAAATTAATTATGTTGTTCCCACAACATAATTCAACCAATCAAATTCTTGCATCTTGTTGTCAGAAAAATGGATAGAGATGTTTTAATTAAACAGTATTTTGAAATGGGTTTGAAGTATCAGGATATTCAAAATATGTTAGAAGAGAGGCACAACATTTGTATCGGACTAAGGCATTTAAGAAGGTTGACTTGAAAATGGCGACTTTTTAAAAAGGGACTTAACTTTGCAGTCACTCTTTGTGGCAATCGCTATTTTGATTGGTTGAATTATGTTGTGGGAACAACATAATTAATTTGTTCGCACAACTTATTATCTTGAGGGAACAAGATATTGAAAAAATATCGCAGAAAATAGTTTGTTCCCACAGAGTAAAAAAAAGATTTTTCTCACAAAATAAGTTGTTCCCACAGAATAAATTTTTTTTTTACTCAAATTAAGTTGTTCCCACAGAATAAAAAAAGATTTTTCTCACAAAATATGTTGTTCCCACAGAATAAAAAAAGATTTTTCTCACAAAATATGTTGTTCCCACAGAATAAAAAAAGATTTTTCACACAAAATATGTTGTTCCCACAGACTAAAATTTTTTTTTTACTCAAATTAAGTTGTTCCCACAGAATAAAAAAAGATTTTTCTCACAAAATATGTTGTTCCCACAGAATAAAAAAAGATTTTTCTCACAAAATATGTTGTTCCCACAGAATAAAAAAAGATTTTTCTCACAAAATATGTTGTTCCCACAGAATAAAAAAAGATTTTTCTCACAAAATATGTTGTTCCCACAGAATAAAATTTTTTTTTTACTCAAATTAAGTTGTTCCCACAGAATAAAAAAAGATTTTTCTCACAAAATATGTTGTTCCCACAGAATAAAAAAAGATTTTTCTCACAAAATATGTTGTTCCCACAGAATAAAAAAAGATTTTTCTCACAAAACATGTTGTTCCCACAGATTAATAAAAAATATTTCGACAAATAAGTTGTTCCCACAGATTATTAAAATAAATCGACTATGTCCTCTCCATGCTTCCGTAGGTATCTTATCAGTGACGTATACGATGCTCATCTCAAATCGTTCCCTATTGCATCATATTGCTTTGTGCGGTATAAAGCACGGTGTTGTTTTTGATTCCGGATATTGGAAATTAGGTTGTCTTCCAATCAAGATGGCTGACCCAGTCGTTTCACTTTTCATTGGAACCGGTTTGAGCGAACAGAAAGCGAAAGAAACTTTAAAAAATGAATTAGTTACTCAAAATTTAAAGAGTGCTATAGAACAGGTATAATGATTTTTAAAATATCGATTTGTTTATGAAATGTCATATTTTTTTGGGACTGAAACATCAAATGATGCAACACGTGTGTATTATGACAGCGAGAACTGGGAATCGTCATATTTATTGACCATTTGTATGTTCGTTGATTATGTTGTAAAACTGAAAATCCTCAGGCATTGGTCGGGATTTGAAGCCCGTAGCTGTCGATTACTAGGCACGGGTGGCAGTAGTCGAAATTATATCGTCCGATGATATGTTTTGACGCTTATCTATTTCGACGCCATTTTTGTTTTGTTATCGTAATGCTATAAGCGACATTCCGCTGACATCATACTACTCACTGAACTGCAAGTAGCATTTTACTACGCTCATTACAATAATGTGGAAAGTAAGAGATTGTGAGGTAAGATTTCATTACTTTTGCAGGCTTGTAAAAATGCCTGATGAGGCTTATAAAGATCATATAGAATCCTAATAAGACAATACATTTAAACTTTGTTTGTTGTTTTAGCATAATATATGACCTAAACAGGAAGAAAAAAAAATTGGTTACTATCATTTTTTGTGAGAATTTCCTTTTTCAAGTTTTTATAACACATAATTTTTATGACACATGCATTTATGCGTTTTCACTAATGCATATTTTTTCGAAGGTTATTGAAGCCTGAATTTTGTAAATGCGACCGTGGGAAAATCCAAAGGTAGGTCATCTCATTGGCTCGCCGAATTTGCAAGGTCAGGTGACTGTCATGTGACCAAAATTTTGTATATAGCGCACTATTTTTTCACTGTTGTGTAACTTTGGTATACACCTTATATCATTTCTGCAGGTTACTTGAATTTTGATTGGCATAATTGATGATTTATAAAGTTATTTCATTATTTTGAAAAACAGTATGTGAATGTGTGACTTATTATTTTTCTTTCCTTTCTTTTCTAGAGTACCAAGACCAAATACAGGTGTTATTCACCAACATCTATGACCATGGCAATACAAAAGGTTAAAGAGACTGGGGCACCAATTAAGACAACGGCCAGGGAATTTAACCTTCCAGAGGCATCTCTAAGGCACAAGCTTAGTGGTCGGGTGAACCCAGAAGCCACAAAATCAGGACCATCTCCCATGTTCACCCAAGATGAAGAGGTTAATTTTGTGGAACACTTGAAATTCTTGGCCTTGTGTGGATATGGATACAGTCGTTCTGAAGTGGTAGACATGGCCTCTGAATATGCAGCTTGTCTGAACAAAAGGGACCGTGGTCATCCATTGTCTTTTCATTGGTACACCAGCTTTATGTCACGGTGGCCGGAGCTTAAGATTATAAAACCTCGTGGCTTACAGAATCAGAGGGCAAAGGCAACCACTGTAGAATGTGTCTCTAGTTACTACAAAGAGTTAAGATCCATTCTTGTTAAGTACAACTTGACAGATAAGCCTGAGAGAATCTACAATGTTGACGAGAAAGGTCTGTCAACATTTCATAATCCTCCTGCAGTAGTGACTGGAGTGGCATTGAAACCAGTAGCTGTAACATCAGAATCAATGCAAACTGTGACAATGATCGGTTGTGGAAATGCCCTTGGGAATAGTGTACCGCCATTTTTTGTATTTCCTGGATCACGCATGAGGCAGGAACTTCTTCAGGGTGGTTGTCCAGGAGCTAATGGTGATGTCACAAAATCTGGCTTGAGCAACAGTGTTGTGTTTCGGAAGTACCTTTCAGATCACTTGCTCAAGTATCTACCTGAACGCTCCACAGACAATCCAATTTTAATTCTGTATGATGGACATATATCACACATTAATATTAGTTTGATCAACTGGGCAAAGTCTAAAAATCTCATTTTATTCATACTTCCTGCACATACAAGCCATGTCTTACAACCATTGGACGTTGGTTGCTTTGGTCCCTTTGAACGCATTTACAACAAGGTGAGCCATAAGTTCATGGGCGACAACTGTGGACAGAGCATATCAAGATACAACATCTGTGCACTTGGTAGTTCTGCATACTTGAAAGCACTGTCTCCAGAAAACTTACGATCATCTTTCAAGAAAGCGGGCATTTATCCCTTCAATCCTAATATTGTAGATGCTTCAAATTTCAAGCCATCTGAACCACTTCAGCAAGAAGAGATACCCACAACAGCTGTTCTAGAAGTTTCACAGTCAGTTCCCAAGTGTTCTACAGAGTTGTTTGCAACAAAGGAAACTGTAGTCAGTGCCAAGAAGCCACCCACCAAAAAACGCCGCTGTTTGAGTACAGTTGTTAGTGGAAAGTCCATCACAGAAGACAGCATTTAATATTAGTGCCATCCAACAGCGTGACAACAACAAAACTAAGACAACAGTTTCAGCTTCATCAGAGCCAAAGCCTAGTACCTATGGTGTAACCAAGCCTAGCAAGTCAACAGTAATCAGACATGAGGACTGTGACTCTGAGTTATGTTGTGTATGTAACAAGTTCATTCCAGATGAAGTACACAAAAAATTCATCCCTTACATTTGTTCAGTGGATAGAGTGTAGCAAGTGTGGACACTGGGTGCATCTTATGTACTGCACTAGTGTTATAGTTGTCAAGAGGGTTGATATATTCTTTTTGTCCTCATTGTGTTGACAGGCACTAAGTATTTTGTTTTTGATGTGCAAAAATATTTTTGATTTTGATATTTGATATCCTTTTGACATAAAAATAAAGAATAATTATATGTTGAAATTTATTATGTCTCCCCCACCTCGGGGGGAGACATATTGTTTTTGCCCTGTCCGTCCGTCAGTCCGTCCGTCCGTCCGTCCGTCCGTCCGTCCATTCTTCGTTTCCGGACGATAACTAGAGTTCCTTTTGACCTACAGCCCTCAAACTTCATAGGATGATTGGTCTTATAGAGCTGATGATCCCTATTGTTTTTGGGGTCAGTAGGTCAAAGGTCAAGGTCACACTGACCGTTGGTCAATTTCTCGTTTCCGGATGATAACTAGAGTTCCTTTAGACCTACAGACCTCAAACTTCATAGGATGATTGGTCTTATTGAGCAGATGATCCCTATTGTTTTTGGGGTCAGTAGTTCAAAGGTCAAGGTCACAGTGACCGTTGGTCAATTTCTCGTTTCCGGATGATAACTAGAGTTCCTTTTGACCTACAGCCCTCAAACTTCATAGGATGATTGGTCTTATAGAGCAGATGATCCCTATTGTTTTTGGGGTCAGTAGGTCAAAGGTCAAGGTCACAGTGACCGTTGGTCAATTTCTTCATTGAAGTGACTACCGGGTATTTACATTATCTTATCTCCATTTCCATTCCTGTTTCCATTCACAGTTATTCTCAGCAGTGGGGGAGACATGCGCTTTTTTACAAAAGCATCCTCTAGTTTTATATGCTTTAGTTTTACCCAATTCAGTTATTGTGTGCACCTCAAAACATAGAATGACTGTACACTCGCCAATACAGTGAAATGATCTTGAAATAACCAGCCAATCAAAAGACATCATTTCATATGAGCTTCAACAAATATGGCTGCCTCTATGCAGCCCTGTCAAAATGATAAAAACTTTTGTTTATAACATACATGTGACAAATGAAATGGGCCAAATCTGGATATTCAGCTGGATTTTGAGGCTCAAAACTGGATTTTTTTATTGACTAGAATTTCAATGCGTGTTTGGAACATCTGGTTCAAAGAATCTATATTACCCTCAAAATCATTAAATGATTATACTTTTTATGATTTTTTTGTTGATCAATATTAATTTATTTCACCAAAATATAAATAAATAGATAAATAAATAAGTGTAGTCATACAGGCTATTTCTAAAACAGTCACATTTTCACATTTCATTATTTTAAGTTTGAATAATTATATCTGTCTTTTCAGTCATACAATAATTGGCTAATAATTTAAAACACAAGCTATTTGAAAACGTGCAACATAAGACTGTGACAGTTCAATAACGTAACGTAAGTATACTGAACCAAAAAAGAAACTTTCGCAAAGTATGTGCCAGTTGTTCAAGGGTACCACTTAGATGTACACACTTATATACATGTAGTAGCTTGTAAAACTTGTTTTGTTTGCAAAATCGGTCAGCTAATCCCCGTATAAAAGCCCGATATGTTTATTCAACGTAAAAATCGAGTTTCAAAAGGATTGAAAAACTGTACTAACATATCTACATTCAAACTTGGAGAAAGTTTCTTTTTTGTTTCAGTATAGAAGACTCAAAATAAATGCAAGAATCGTTCCGTTAATTAAATCCACATTTTTGTCTCGATGATTGTGTAATTCCTAAACAAAACAAACAAATTACCCACTCACTAAAAATAGGTTAATTAGACATGGTTTTGCCGCATCTCAAACAGGTTTTTGAAAGATCCACTTTAAATGATTCTGCTCACCTTTAATCTTTATCAGTGCGGCACTAATCAAAGAAAATCAAAGGTTGAGCCGAATTCATACATGTAAATTTACAGGGTCGTTTTGATGACGTAGCGTGTAATACCTACTGCCAAATTACAAAAGAGGTCAATTGACTGACACACGACACGTGTTAAGTTAAACATGTGAGAATAACTTTGGGTGATGGAACTGTTTATTACGTCACCTTGCTGTCAATTAGCGACTCAACATTTAATCCGCTATAATTTAGGATATGGACAGATAACAATCAATGCCCGGAGGCACAGTTTACATTTTAGATACAGGTGCTGTGTTTGATTTTTTTTTATGTTGATTTTTGTGTCGCCTCTACGGAGTAGTGGCGACATATAGGGATCACTTCTCCGTCGTCTGTCTGTCCGTCTGTCTGTCCGTCTGTCTGTCCGTCCGTCCGTCACAAAACTTGTCCGGACTACTCCTCATAAACTACTGGTGCAATTTCATCCAAACTTTACAGGAATGATCAGTACCAAGTCTAGTTGTGCATATTGTCAGCATTTTCCGGTTCAATGATTTTTGTCAGAGTTATGGCCCTTTAATAATTTTTAATTTTAAAGTTTGTCCGGACTACTTCTCTTATACCACTAATGCAATTTCAATGAAACTTTACAGGATTGATCTGTAGCTCAAGTCCTTGCGCATATTACACGGGTTTTCCGGTTGAATGATTTTTGGCCGAGTTATGGCCCTTTGATAAAAAGGTGTTTTTTTCTGTGTGTTGCCAGATACACAAAAGCTTGTCCGGACTACTCCTCATAAACTACTTGTGCAATTTCATCCAAACTTTACAGGAATGATAAGTACCAAGTCTAGTTGTGCATATTGTCAGCATTTTCCGGTTCAATGATTTTTGTCAGAGTAATGGCCCTTTAATAATTTTTATTTTTAAAGTTTGTCATGACTACTTCTCTTATACCACTAATGCAATTTCAATGAAACTTTACAGGATTGATCTGTAGCTCAAATCCTTGCGCATATTGCACGGGTTTTCCGGGTGAATGATTTTTGGCCGAGTTATGGCCCTTTGATAAAAAGGTGTTTTTTCTGTGTGTTGCCAGATACGCAAAAGCTTGTCCGGACTACTCCTCATAAACTCCTGGTGCAATTTTATCCAAACTTTACAGGAATGATCAGTACCAAGTCTAGTTGTGCACTGTCCGTCTGTCTGTCCGTCTGTCACAAAATTTGTCCCAACATGAAATTGGCCATCATGAGGCGACACATGTGATTACTGATCGCTCTTGTTTTTTAAATATCGGGAATTCAAGCTGTAATATCGGGAATCGGGATCAGTGTCGAAATATCGGGATTTTTTAAAATCCCGCCGGGATGTCACATGTATGTTATAAGCCAGTACACATGCAAAACTAGGTAAAAAGTATTGAATTATATGTCATACATAATAGACATGCTATTTAAATAAAAAGTTAATACCTCTATGATTCGAAAATGATGCCTTAATTCTTAAGGGCGTCGAAACTGATGACTCTGGGATACATCAGACGTTTCGTGCATGTTATACATGTAGTTTATGTCGGTCAAGCCCGACATGTAATAGTCATTGAACATAAACGCATAGCATCTTAAAAAATCAAAACATGTCTATTGTCTTACCTTTCAAGCTTTATTCAAAAGTTTCTAGATAATAAGTTTATTATCATGCTCATTCATTAACAAAAAATTAAACACAAGAAGAAAGACAAACAATTACTGGGCTAAAAGAACATGGACAACTCCACTGCGATCCAAAGTCAAAAGCGAAAGTACTAAACCGGCAGTTTCAATCTGTTTTCACCGAAAACATCACTGTCATTGCTCATGACTTCAAGAAGGGACACTACGTCAATCCACAGTCAACCCATCCTGTAGCCCCTGAGATATCCATAACCACTCATGGAATTACCAAACTCCTTCTTGCACTGAACCCGCATAAAGCTGGAGGACCCGGCACCATAAGCCCTTGCATCCTCAAAGAATTGGCAACTGACATCGCTCCCATAGTCACCACCATCTTCACTCTATCACTAGAAAATACATGTAGCACCATCCCTAATGACTGGAAAGCCAATGTCTCCCAAGGCTACAAGAAAGGCAGCAGATACAAACCAGAAATGATTGCCCTATCTCCCTCACCTGCATCTGCTGCAAGCTTCTAGAGCACATTATCACCAGACACATCATGAACCATGCCGAAAAACACAAGATTCTTTATCCTCTCCAACACAGCTTCAGGAAGGGCAGATCCTGTGAAATACAACTTCTTGAATTCACAAATGATATAACATGGAAAATGGCAAACGGACTGATGTTCTCATCATGGACTTCGCCAAGGCCCTCGACAAAGTATGTCACAGCCTTTTATCCCACAAACTGGAGCACTACAGCATCAGAGGCAAGACCAACCTGTAGATTCAGGCTTTCCTAAGCAACCGATCCCAATCTGTAGTGTTTGAAGGGGTAACATCAGATACAGTATCTGTAGAATCCAGCGTCCAACAGGGCTCAGTCCTTGGCCGTAGTCTGTTCCTATTCTGCACAATGGCATCCGGTACTAGGGTCTCAATGCAGTCGTCCGACTCGTTGGGCCCACAGTTGAATTTGTTTTGCGCCGACAGTCTTTTCAGGGGGTCAGTGGCACAATTGAACTCTGGTCTTAATCCAATAAGTTGTAAAATTGTTCCATTATTGGAATACCTTGCATGTTATCATTGAATTTCATTGAAAATCGCTGCGTCCAACTAGAACTGACGCTGAAAATTTCATTGATCTATATATTCTTTGTTTTTATCTGATTTCCTTCTAAATATACACATGTAGTCTATAGCTGGGCAAGCCAAAGCCAGAGCCCGCTTTGTGGTCCCGGCCTATCACTTCCCTGTAAAACATTGTAGTCATCAATTTATATTAAAGCTACATGCCTCCAGATGAGTCAAAATATTTCAATAAAATCAAATTTGAGAAATATGTACTAAGATGTAAGTAAAAGTAAAGAGTTTCAAGATTCAAGTAATATTTTACATATTATGTGCGATAAATGACTGATTTCTCAGTATTTACATCTATATTTCTACTGCGTTACTAATGCAGTAAAGGCTATTTAGGCATATTTTCACCACTTTTACATAATTAACGTGGTTTCTAAGTGCCATTGATGATGTGTAAATTGTTTCCTTTTGGTTACTTTACCATATTACACATTCCAATACATTTTCAAAATTTTCATGAACATTAGCATGAATCTGGAGGTGTGCAGCTTAAAAAACAAATATCAGTCTATTTTTGCCTATCGGCGTTACTGGTTCAGAAAAGCACTTTACAGATTCATTCTAATTTTTGAACGGAAAAATATATTTGCATAAGCTGGCGTGCATGGGCAAATATTTCATAAAAAAATATATTGTTTGAAACATTTGACTCATTTAAACACTAACATTTGAATAACCAATCAGATTAGCGCACTGTGTGACAGCAATAAATTTGTTTATCTGCTGTATAAGGAATTTAATTAAATAAGGGGATTTAATCATGATTTTTAGGATGTGACAGTCTACTTATTTTGTTAAAAGATATTTATTTTTTACTTTTGCTCATAAATTATAAGGTCAAAATTAATGTATTTATATGCTCTCTTGTTTGTTTTTTTTATTCTGCCAGATTTTCTTGCGGAACATGCTGTGGGTTTTTGAGCAATTTCAATATGATGTTGCTTTGCCCAGAAGCAAAAATATCTAAAGGTAGCATTATATTTATAAGACTAATGTGGCAGTATCAGTGTTTGGCCACCCCACTCCACCCCTGGATCCCTGCTACAACCCTGAAAAAAGTAATCAAACACTCTTACCAAATACAAAACCACTGATAAAATAACAAAAACTAATATGCTACAATTTTGTTTATCATAGATGTATCATTATTTTGTTTCAGGTTGGCAATGTGTCTGAGGACCTGAAGACAGATAAAGATGTTGGTAAACTACTCTATCATGTAGCAACCAAATTGAAAACACGTAAATACCAGAGACAAATTGTTGACTATATTGCAACAAAAAAGATAACTTCCGAAAACCAGTTAAAATGGTAGGTCTGTTTAAGAAGCTTTTACATGAAGCACATTGTGCAATAATAAACTGCAATGTTAGTTTTAATGGTAAGCATAACTTACAGGATGGTATGCTGGCGTCTGCCTGTAGTAGGTTATTGGTAAAAAAAGATAACTCTATAAAACTTTTTGTTATTCATTATTAAAAATTATCTGAAATAGATTTTGTTCTTCATCATCCCTATGCTCTGTAAGTGCATTAATTTTATATCAGTTTTCTCAATGAAAATGTAATGGACATGTTTATTACAAATTATTTAGTATTCAACTGCTGAAATAAAACAAACAAATGAGCCCGCAGTCATGAAAAAACCAAGGATGCGTAAGGCTGGTCTGGATCCATGCTTGGTCGCAAACGCGCCCTATGTTGGTTTTGTAAAATGACGCGGCTTCAAATCATTTTGAAGCAGGACAGTTATTTTGTAACATCTTAAGAAATTTTTTTCAGCTGCTTTTGATTACTTCAAACATTTTCCATTGGAAAGCCGATTGATTGGTCAGCGTATTGAGCAAGAATGTGGTGTAGGTGTGATTATAACACCCAGATCAAAGTGGAAGCTGCTGTAGAGGATGTGATAGGGAAACACAAGGCCGGGCTACAAGCTCAGAGATACAAAATATAACATGGGGGTTATACATGGGTAATTATCTTGTTAGTCCTAAAGTAACTATACTAACAGTTATCTCACAAGTCAAATGAGTATCAAGCTAACGGCTAGTTTTTGGCCTTGCGTAAGTAAAGGAAGACAGACCAGGAATGCAGGTCTGTTATTTATTTCAGGGACTAAAAGGGATCTAAAATATAAACTAACTTTCTCAAACTTGCTGTAATAGTTCCTCACATGGTAAAATTCTACATCACTTGCAGGTTGAAGATGATGCGGTGACATATTTCCTGAAATATCTAGAGGTTAAAATTATAGCTAAAAATAATATTATTATTTATCATCTAATTCCTAGAGAAATGATAGCTATGCATTATCACTTAATAAAACATTTTCATGAAATTTAATACAATATCCATAAGTAATTGATGGATGTAGAGTTAAAGACAGTATATTCTGTATAACAGGTGAAGCTCGGAGCAAGTTGAATGGGCTGATGGGGAAGGCCATCAAACATGAAGTTGACATGCAGGTAAAATATTCATACTAATCATGATAATTTTACACTGATTTATTAAAAAAACAAGGATCAGTAAGGATTAATTCCTATATAAAAATATAAATTATGAAGTCCGCAGTTGAAATTTTTGATACCTTCAATGACAAATGGTTGTTTGTTATTTTTTGTTAAATTAGTTTAAAGGAGTGATTTCAGCAATGACTTGTAGTAACTTTTGCAACATGAGTATGTTTATTGTGTTGTCTGGTGTATTTTATTTGCATGTGAGCTTGATGATCACTTAATGCTTATTTCCTGTTTTTTTGTGATCCTCTATTCTATAAACAATGTCACACAAAAACTATATTTAAGAATTGATTCTTACCTGGTCCTAATAAAAAGTTAAAATATTGCATTGTCTTGTGTGTTACTATTATTGCATTAATTGTTGCCCCCTGTGTTCAAATTTTTGCCCTCTCCTGTTTACACAAGCTTGGGTTAGTGTCATTTGATTTCTAACACTTTATTAAATTTAAAAATTTGAGCAATGCCATGACAAAAAACCAAACATTGTGCGTTTGGTGACCAGCATGGATCCAGACTAACCTGTGATCCGTGATCCAGGCTGGTCGTTTATCATTTCTCCACTTTTAAAAGGGTTTGCGAAGAGGCATGGACCTAATCACTGCGCGGACGCGCAGGCTGACTGGATCCATGCCGGTCGCAAACCCATTATGTTTGTTTTGTCATGGCGCAGCTCAAAAAAGCTTTTATATTCAGGTGTTGGCTTACTTTGGCCAAAAACTGCAGAGGATTTTGGGGAAAAAACAGTGAAAAAAAAGGTATGACTTACGTTTAAATTTTCTCTTTACAAAATTTTATATTGAAAGTCCAGAAATTACTTGGGCATTCTTTAGTATACCCATGTATCCTAAAAACCATAAAAAATAAACTAAAAAGAAAAATGACAGGGAAGTTAATAAATTACATTGTATATCTCTGAAAAAAGATTCATGGACCTTCTATTTTTTTTTTATTCTCTGTCCATAACATGTTACATTTGTTCATTACTTTTTACAATTAATATTAAAAATTTAAAATGCTTTCTTTCTTCAAGGAGCTTGTAATAAAAATGTTGAATTATTAAAATTGTTACTACTTGTTTATAAAAAATGGTTCATAAGGGAATTAAATTATTCCCTATTTTAAGGGCTGGCAAAACCTCCCAAGGATAAGGAGGGAATATATAAAGAAGAAGGAAACAGATCAAAGAGTCACCCTTCTGTTTGATAATTGTAAGTTTACTCATAAGCTTAAAAAAATAACCATTAGCCTTTCAAACTATAAAAATATAATATTTGTGAGAAATGATTTGAAATAGTAAAAATTTTCCTTTCTGTAAATGGTAATTTATAAAATACAGCATTCAAATTGTCTAAGTTAGTGCTATGCATTGAAATAACATGTTCTAGTCCCCTACCGGTTTACCGAGGGGACTTTAGGTTTTAAACCCTTGTCCGTCTGACGCACTACAGGAGAGTAATTATGTTTGGCTAGAAGGGACAATAGGTTTAACTGTTCTTTCTCTCTTGATGTCATTCATTCTGTAATGCTTTTATGTGGCTTTTTTTCTTTTGTGTGGCTAAAAAGAAACAATTAGAGTGAACAATAAATAGAAGTGACCACATAATTACTGTCCTTGTGAAGAAACGTCCGTCCTCTGTCTTGTTCAGTCCGGTCCGTAACAAAACTGGGAAAACCAGTGATAATGCAAAAAAGTACTGGAAATATTTTTTATGCTTGAAATATGGGTAGATGGCAAGTCTGGAGATTATGCACGGTTTTTTTCTTTTCTTCCCTATGTTGGAAAAGATGGCAAAATTTTACATATAAACTGAATCCAGTGATAACTCAAAAAGTTGGAAATATTTTTTAATGAAACTTGGAACATATGGGTAGATGGCAGTCTGAGGCGTTATTATCTGGGGTTTAATCTTTTTCCTATTTTTGGAAAAAAATTGGTTGCCCATGGAACAAATAGGCTTAAAAACATTTGGCAAAATATAAACAATATTTGTGATTAGTAAAAAAGAGCTGAAATTTTTTATGAAATTGCATCTTTATTTCAAGACTTATCTCCTCTTTAAGAATTTTGCTTTTAAAAATGTTATATTTTGGTAACAGAGATGTTTCAAATATTAACTTTAGAGTGTCCTTCAGTCTGTCAGCCTGTCTTTTCAAAAAAAACTGTTTTCTGTGATCACTTTTAAAGAACTTATCCAACAAATTTACTTAAAATAGAGAAAAATTGAAACATTAGTGAATGGCCAATGTCCCTTCAGAATGTTGCTGGGTTCTAACTGGTAGTGGACTTATGGATTGCCTGCAATACTATGATAATTGCTTGTTTTAATTAGAACGAACATATTGGAATTATTTAGAAAACAACATTAACGATTTGTGATGATTTCTATCAGTTTAAGAAAAAAAATATAGGTAAATCTTAAATCATTGATATTGTATTTGTCTTTCCCATTATACCCTGTTTTGTATTGAAAGGATTCTTTTTTGTGTTTAATAAAATTTTACAGGAGTTTTGTAATATTATTTTACAGTTCTAGGCCAGGATGGAGAAGTGAAAAGTTTTACAGAGGTCATGGGTGAAGCTCTGAAATTTCACAAACCAGGTAATATACATAAATGATGGAATTATACTTTCTTGCTTATAATACTTTAACTGTTTATAATTGAAGGTGTGTATGAATGTACAGGTGTAAGTTTGTGATTGAATGTGTTAATGACTGTGAAACTGTGTATGAATTTCAAAGTGTAAGTTTATGACTGAAGGTGTTTATGACTTTGAAACTGTTTATGAATGTAAAGTTGTAAATTCATGACTGAAGATGTTAATGACTGTGAAGGTGTTTATGAATGTGAAGGTGTTATTGGGAGTGAAGGTGTTTATGACAGTTGATTACAAAAGAGGTGTTTATGAATGTGAAGGTGTTTATGACATATTTATCATTTGTTCAAGTTTGCAAGATTTACAATTAATTTAGGTGAGAATTACAAGACTGCTGGTTATGTTATCACAGACCAAACTATGGAGTTGATGAAGGAACATTTAAAAGCAACTGGTGGTAAGGTATGTAATTTCACTATACAATACTTGTTGTTTTTGTGTGTCAAAGAGCTGATTGATATTAGCATTTAGATGGAAAGAGGTTATGTGCTAAGTTAAATGCTAAATTTTTAGTGCACACCATTATTTAGATTTATTATGTCACAGCCCAATCTTTCTCCACATTGATAGGGGATCATAATTATTTGTCTGTCAATTCCTCTGATATATTTTTTTCATATAAAAATTATTAAAAGTTTTAGCTATTTGTCAATTGCAATTTATTCTATTTCAACTACACCTACTTTCACTTGTAATGCTTAATGAACATCAGATAGACATAGTCCAAGTGATGTGAGAGTGTAACAATAGTTTTAAAGTAAAAGGAAAGAAAAGTGCTTAAGAGATTCAGGATAAAACCATTTATAAAAACATACATGTACATATGACTATACTGGTACTCATATAAAAACATTAAAATATACATCACATAAAATAATTTGAATTGAATTGAACATAAACTTTATCTATTTCAGGTGTACTCCAGATTTCCCTCCAGAACCCAAATGGTATTTTACATTATTGGTCATGCTCAAAAGCTATAAACTTTAACTTCGGATATGCTAGGGTAATTATAAGTTAATATTATCTTCACAAAGTACCAGCATTTTACTGAAAATTATATGCATGAGATTATACTCCACCAATGAAAAGATATTGTTTAAAAATTGCATACTTACAGTTAAGTTTTAAAATCTGTTGAAAATGACACCTAGTTGGTTTCAAAATCTGTTGAAACGGACACCTAGTGCAATGCCAGGGATCATGAGGTTTGACAAGTCCTGAATCCTGAAATGGCTGAGTAAAAAATTTTAAACTTGTTCAAGATTATGTCTGTCTGTCCCAGAGTAGTCAGAATGATGATATTATATGATAGGTAATTTTTCAGGAATTGATAAAGTATAATTTTCCAAGAACGAACAAAGTATAACTTTCCAGGAATGAATAAAGTACATTTAAGATGTTCCAGAAGCATGGTAGTTATTTTAAGTTTGGTAGAAATTAAGCATTTATGAATTACGAGTGGGAGTTTCAGATATTGTATTTATTTTGTCAGGCAAATGGAGGTAAATGTTATCTCAGATATGATGATACCAATCCTGAAAAAGAGGAGGAAAAATTCTTCACGGCAATAAGAGAGATGGTTGAATGGCTTGGTAAGCTATAATTTATTTGTAAGATAAATACAATATGTATGCTAGTGACATAAACACTTTGTCCATGCCACCAGTATAGTGCCAGGCTAGCTTGCACATACATACAGTCAGGGTCTGTACTGTTTGCTGACCAATTGTAGGATTTTGTTTTCAAAATTATTTACTTTAAGCGGACAGCAACAGATTCAAAGCAGGGCAATCCAGTATACAAAATAAAGCAGCATGCAAGTTAGTGTTGAAAGTATGATGTTTTATGTAATAGTTAAGAAATGTTGATAATGTTTTAGATTAATATTTATTAAATGTAACATTTGAATGTTTTATTGTTGGATTTAATGTCTTGCTGGAAAAGACAGATATATATGAATGTGTTATGTATTGGAGCTCAACGGAGAGCAATTGTACTCACCCTCACATCAGTGTCATCGTCCCTTTTACACTTAGGTTTTTGCATGCAAGTCGGAATCTCAAAACTCCTGAAGGGAATGGGTTAAAACCTCACATACTTATTTGGGAGCAAAATAGATTACTGTGTAAGGCCTATAGCTCTAAAATTGATTCTAACAGAATTATAACACTTCATTAACTTAAAAAATTCTACAGTTTTTACTATCAAGCAATGAGAATAGTTAAGCACCCTGTCCGTCTGACAGCTCAATTTTAATAATTACATGTGAAGTGATTTGATTTTATACCAGGTTACAAACCATGGAAGGTAACTCATGCCTCTGACAATTTTGACAAGCTTTATGAGTATGCTGTGAGGCTGATCATGCGTGGACATGCCTATGTGTGTCACATGAGATCAGAGGATATTAAAGGGTTCAATCCCCCGGATTCACCATGGAGAGACCGGCCAATGGAGGAATCTCTTCAGTTATTTGAGGTAAGTGATTTTTGTAAATGAATAAAGAATTATATTCTCCGTACATGCATCTTTTTGTCACTTCACATTTTACTTTGTTATTAAATGTATTTTTATGGTCATATCTTCTTCATGTTTCATCTTCTATGTTTTTGTGCCACAAATAAGGTAAAACAGTAAATCTGTAGCTATTTGTCAGAGCTATTTGAGGGACTCCATTGAGGTTTTTGACATGATGGAACTGGAAATAATTTTTCGAGATTAACGTTCAGTTTGATGTAGGTCTAAACCAATAACATGTGTGCAAAATTTCATCTCATTAGCTCAGTTTGTTTTTCCAGAATAATTATTCTTTATGTGAATAAATGATCCAAAACACTCTTTTCACTCAAATAGGGCTGAAATAGCACAAATGATAATTTTAAACCTTTTTTTGAGTATATTTTTTAATTATCATTTACATATCTTCCTGCTTTATGTGCCCAAGCAGATCTATGTAAGAAATTCATGTATTTTGGCATGTGCATCTCAGTGGAATTTCCTTTAAAATTTGAAAACATTTAGTGCATGTTAATAC